TATATATATATATATATATATATATATATATATATATATATATATATATATTGGTGTATACTGGCAGCAGGTTTTCTTTCAAACATGTTTCATTGAATATGACCGCATATTCTGTATTTATTATTTTCTGGTTTAGGGCTTCTATCCCTCTAACTATTTTCTTAGCATCAGGGCTTAATTGGAATAGGAGTTCTCCAAAACTCATTTTCGTACTTTTAAGGTGAAGAAAAGAAGTGATTTACTATAGAGTGTATTACACTTATTTGTATAATTTGCACGACGTTTCGAACCTCCATGGTTCATTCTCAAGTGAACAGATCTTACAATACTAGTTAATTTTATACCCGCATTAGGTCAGGTGATAATACAATGAAGGTGAAAAACATGGGGGGATACATAAGGGATAAACATAGGGGCTGCAGAAGGCTTATTGGCCCATACGAGGCATCTCCTATCTAAACACAAAGATTAATCCAGTGTAATTGGCCTGTTATGTTGGACATTGTTATTAGTACAATAACAAGTATTATTGTTATTTGTACTAATAACAAAAACAGGAACCTCTTAAGCACCAACGTATATACCAAGCCCACCAACATAGGATTATGCCTGAACGGTAGAAGTGAGTGCCCCCAAAGATACAAAGCCAGTGTTCTCAATGCTTATATTCGTCGAGCGCTTACCCACTGCTCTGAATGGAGCAACGTGAGTAGAGAGTTTGAAAGAGTAACTCAGGTATTGGTGAACAACGGATATAGCAACGCGGAAATAAACGCTGCTATAAGAGACACTTGGACCGTTGGTATAATTCAGAACCTAGAACAGAAACCACAACACCCCAATAAAATTATATTACAAATCAACCATGCACAGTGAACATATAAAAGAGGAAAGAATAATGAAAGAAATAATCCGTAAAGGAGTAAAAAGCACAACTCCTAACCAAAACATAAACCTGATAATATTCTACAAAACCAAGAAGACTTCCGAACTCCTTATCAAAAACAGCCCGAAGCCGACGGAGAACCCTCTACAGCAGTCAAGCGTTGTATACATGTACACTTGCCCCCACGAAGGATGTAACCTTCAATGTAAGTACATAGGTATGACGTCGACCAAGCTGACGAGGCGTTTGACATGCCATCTTCAATCTGGTGCCCCTAGGAATCACATGAGACAAGCCCATGACATTACTCTAACAAGAGAAATGTTGAACAAGAATACTTGCATAATAGACAAAACCCAAGATTCAAGAAGATTACAAATTCTTGAGGCAATTCACATAAGAATAGAGCGACCTACCATGAACACCCAAATCACGGAACTATTTACTCTACCCACCATGAGAGTAAGGACAAGACAAGAACATATCGATGCCAACACAGAAGACAATGTCCAACATAACAGGCCAATTACACTGGATTAATCTTTGTGTTTAGATAGGAGATGCCTCGTATGGGCCAATAAGCCTTCTGCAGCCCCTATGTTTATCCCTTATGTATCCCTCCATGTTTTTCACCTTCATTGTATTATCACCTGACCTAATGCGGGTATAAAATTAACTAGTATTGTAAGATCTGTTCACTTGAGAATGAACCATGGAGGTTCGAAACGTCGTGCAAATTATACAAATAAGTGTAATACACTCTATAGTAAATCACTTCTTTTCTTCACCTTAAAAGTACGAAAATGAGTTTTGGAGAACTCCTATTCCAATTAAGCCCTGATGCTAAGAAAATAGTTAGAGGGATAGAAGCCCTAAACCAGAAAATAATAAATACAGAATATGCGGTCATATTCAATGAAATATATATATATATATATATATATATATATATATATATATATATATATATATATATATATATATATATATATATATATATATATATATATATATATATATATATATATATATATATATATATATATATATATATATTATTATATATATATATATATATTATATATATATATATATATATATATATATATATATATATATATATATATATATATATATATATATATATATATATATATATATATATATATATATATATATATATATATATATATATATATATATATATATTATATATATATATATATATATTATATATATATATATATATATATATATATATATATATATATATATATTATATATATATATATATATATATATATATATTATATATATATATGTCGTACCTAGTAGCCAGAACGCACTTCTCAGCCTACTATACATGGCCCGATTTGCCTAATAAGCCAAGTTTTCATGATTAATATATTTTCTCTAATTTTTTCTTATGAAATGATAAAGCTATTTCATTATGTATGAGGTCAATTTTTTTTATTGGAGTTAAAATTAACGTAGATATATGACCGAACCTAACCTAACCTAACCTATCTCTATAGGGTAGGTTAGGTTAGGTAGCCGAAAAAGTTAGGTTAGGTTAGGTTAGGTAGGTTAGGTAGTCGAAAAACAATTAATTCATGAAACTTGGCTTATTAGGCAAATCAGGCCTTGTATAGTAGGCTGAGAAGTGCGTTCTGGCTATAGGTACGACATATATATATATAAAATGCTGAACTGTAATGCCAATCCTGACCTCAAAAAGCTTCATTGAAGGTTGTAACAGAACCCATGACCACCACACCAGAAACAAATAACATTTTGATATTCCAAGACTTAACCAAACTAGAAATGCTCTACAAATCAAGGGACCCAGAATGTGGAATGACCTTCCCAATCATGTTAAAGACTGTACCTCTCTCAACCAGTTTAAGATAAAAACTAAGTTCTACCTAATAAATTCCCTCTAACCTACCTTACCCCTATATTGTCAACCCATGTCTAATATTTTTTAAACAATGCTGTTTGTTGACCTAATTGTATTTGTGCTGTTTTTTCTGCCATGATCTCCCCTTTTTATTTTTATTTGTTCACAATACATTTTATACTTTAATCTCAATTACTATTAAGTTTTAGTCTTTAATGTTTTTCCTGCCCGAAACGCTTTGCGTAATAGTGGCTTTAGGCATTGTATGTACTAGCTCTATCTATAAATCTATCAATTTTTGTATAACCTCTTGTATGTATGTACTTTACCTGAATAAATATTCGAATTTGAAGTTTCTTGGTATCCAAATGTGTTACGTCCATGTTTGTTATGAGGAAGGTAGGATAGTGGCTGGTTGTTCTGTCAGTGATTATACCAGAGGCAAGGAGGGCTGTTATGTTAGTCCATATGTGGCACAACACTATCAGATGTTGGAGTGATTCAAACATCTGCTACAAACAAACTTCAAGAAAATGAGGGCATAGATTTATATTACTAAACAAATCTGCTGAAGAAATATAAGAAAATTCACTTTCATAAACAGAGTGGTAGACAGTTGGAACAAGTTAAGTGAGAAGGTGGTGGCGGCCATAAGTTTCAAAGCATTATATGACAATGTTGGGAAGACGGGACACCATGAGCGTAGCTCTCATCCTGTAACTACACTTAGGTAATTACAAAAATAAACAATAAACCACCTACTAAAGGTTAGACTTGTGATGTCACACTGACACAGCAGCTATAATCATGGGGCAGGTGTTTTAACTATGTTTTAAGTCATTTTAAAAGTCCATGCATTTAACATAAAAAATATGACAGCAAGAACACACTGACAAGTGAGATGTTTTTTCAATGGTGACATTTTACTTATCAGCCTTTTTTTCTTTTCAGCTGACTGTTATTTGCATTAAAGTTCATTATATTTTAACAATGTACAGACTTATGCCGCCTTGTAATAGATTCTTCACTAGCAGAGTTCTTATTATTTTTCCATGTAAACAACATATCACAACCCAACTGTTCACAACATAACCCTATACAATACAGCCCTATACAACACAACACTGTACAGCACACCACCACCCAACACAACATAGCTATATATAACACAACCCTACACAATACTATCCATCCCTACACAACACAGCCTTACAAAACAAAGCCTTATACAACACATCTCTAAACATCAGTCCTATATAACAAAAGCCTTATAACACAACACCACTCTACACAACACAGCACTATACAACACCACTCTATACAGCACAATCCTATACAGCACAGCCCATATATATAGCACAGCCCTATACAGCACAGTCCGTATATTGCACAACCCTATACAGCACAGCCCTATACAATACATCTCTCTACAACACATCCCTATACAACCTAACCCTATACAACATTACTCCCTATATAGCATAACCCTACACAACACCACCACCCAATACCACCCTACACAACATAACCCTACGCAACACAATCCTACACAACATGCTCATATAATATATCACACCACAGTAGTTAGCATAGTTGGTTCACAACAAAAAAGTTCAGAGTTCAATTTCCATGGCAGAACACAAATGTTTGGCACGTTTCCTAGTACCTGATGCCTCTGTTTACTTAACAATATATAGGTACCTGGGAATTAGGCAATTGTTATTGGCTGCATCCTGGGAAAACCAACACAAATCTGAATGGAAAGAAACACATCAAAAGACTGCAACAATGAGGAATAACTCCCCACTGTAAACACACATTCAAGTTGTGTAACACACAATTCACACAGACAAAACACTCAAACAGAATACACACAAGCACAACATATAGCATGCATATTGAAAATACTCAGACATATTCACAAAATACAGAGGAAAAAAAAGCACACCCTGAACAACAAAAAAGTTTGTGTAATGGAACTGCATGCAACCCTACAACTGTTGATAGATTTGCTCACCATCTCACTAAACAATCTAACCCCAGTCAGAACAACCCTATGATATAAACTCCTACTAAAAACATCTATGCAATATCTAGTGTGAATGAAGGCCTGTTTATTGCAGTCCTATGTTAGACTACACTGCATAGTCTTGTTTAAGGCATTGGCGGCACGGGAAGGGTGACAGAGGATAAAATCGTCTTCATGCGAACGACCTGCAGGAAAGGGTCCTCTGGTTCACTCTCCAACTGCAGCAGTTCCTCCTCGACAGTGTCCTCGGGTGGTGTGGGTGGGTTGCTACTGGGGAGTGCAGCTGCCCAGCCACAGATGCGGGCGCTGGGAGGGCCCTGGCAGATGCGGCCTCCTGGCTGGATCCCTGCAGTATACCATATAGTCTATTGTTTGATCATACAATGTGGCTAATGTTCCCACAGAGCTCACCTGGTTTATGGCATACAAATCGATTCCACTGTAACCCTTGAGAATATAGCCAGTTTAGAGGATTCAGGTCGTGAAAGCGTATTCCTATACACTACATTACCTACCTCACACTAACCCTGATGTGCCTCAGCATCTTGTGTTAAACAGATTACCTATCATAATATATAATAAGGAAGGGCCAGCAATAATTACAATGACAGAGACTAATTAACCAGGGAGACACCTCAGATGTCGGTAGGGGAGCATAACAATACGTGCATAATGCAAGGTGAGCAAGGAAGTATTAAGCTCATGCAAGGTGAGACAGGCAGGGAGCTGCTGCTGGAGTCAATAACCCACTGGAAACATTCTCTCTCTCAAAAGCATGTACTGTACCAGTTTTCTATGATAGTGCCAGGCACCTATCAGCATAAACTCAACCATCATTTAACACATGCAGTGCGCTAGTCATGATTATCATTTCTCGAAGAGCACCATGCACCAAGTGTTGAACCTTTAGGATCTTGTCTTCGTTGGTATCATCCCACATGCCCAGCCTGGCAGGCGCAGTCTGGGAAGGGAAGCGGCCACCAGGCTGGATGCGGTTAGGGGGGGATTGGCTGCTGTTGCTGCTGTTGAAGCTGTTGTTGTGGCTGTTATTTTCGTTGTACTTGTTGTTGAGGAAGTCAGACTGACTCAGCGTGTCGGTGGGCCCTGCAAGTTGCAAGATAAGAGGCAACATGCGCCGAACAAAAGAGCAAGGAGAGTGCACTGGGACATGTTCAAAATTTATGTGTGTTGAGGTGGCCTGATGTGTAGGAAGAGATGAAATACCATGAACAAGAAAAATATTAGACGAACACTTAAGTGAGTTATTGTCAATAGCAAGGTAAGCTGAAGGAAATACATAGGCAGGTGTATTGATAATGGCAGGTCAAGGACCGGGAGAGCACCTTGGGATAGTGTTTCACTACAATTAACATACACAGCTGTGTCAAGCCTAACCCACACCTCTACTCCTGCAAGGAACTCACCCCACCACTATGTTTTCTATGCAAGTCGAGCATGTTTTATATTATTACAGGTAAGTTGGAATATTTGAAATAATACACCACTATACTTCTAATAGCTTTTGGCATTTATAAATTTAATATCAAGCAGAAAAATCTTTTATTCGTTGAGAGCAATAGTTATATTTGAACAAAAGTATATTATAATTTTTATGTTTAAAATAATGAAGCCGCTCTTCAAATATAAAAAGAAAACAAGCATATTTTTTTCTAATTATTGTGTACTTATGTCAATGTTTTTTTTGTTTTATTCATGATATAAGTGCAGTTATGAGTTAAGACTGGGTGGAAATTGAGCTTTTATCGAGTTAATGTTCTCAAACATTTACCAGCTTCTTCATGCAGTCAATCCACAAAGTTAAATGTTTGCATTGCAGGAATACTTGCTGAATTAATACATATAACATATAATATAGATTGACGACTTTAGATACAAATATATTTAATTTTTATATTTATGGTGAACTTGACAATGGTAAGTTAGTATTTAACCCTTGTGTTGCTCAGGCCTAATTAACATTTGCCACCCATAGGTGCATACAAAAAAAATATATATTTTTTTTCTTCTAAACCTGTTAATGTGTTCTCTGATCATGGGAAAAATAATAAAAAAATCGTAAGTGGCATATATTGCCCGCTATGGGGCGGAGGGAAGTCTGGCAAAAAACAGGCGCTGACTCAGCGTGCGTCCCAGATGGTCTGTTCCTCCCAGCTGTCAGGCAGGAGTGGCCACAAAGCGATAATTACTGTACCTAATTATTTCAATATCTCCGATTGATTTTTCGTAGTTTTTTGCTGTAATATTATTCAATAGTGTGATATATTTATATAATAAAATGAGTGAATCATCGCTGTACTCAAAATTATGGTGTGCATATTGTTGATTCAATTATTATGTTCATCAAACAGTGAACAAATACTTTGTCGGTTATTACACTATATACACAGGTTATATATAAATATCTGCATGTTTTGTTCACCATAACGAACCACTAAATTGGTATTATGAGTCAAAAAGCAACGAGGAGTGATCGCCACACACCAGCCAGCCATTCGCTGTCACTCACTCCCTCAACACCTCACTCACCCACATTCTCCTCCCACCATACTTTTTGCTTTTATTCACTATATACAGACGTTATATATAAGTATCTACATTCGTGTTCACCATAACAAACCACTAAGTTGGTATGCTGAGTAGCAGTGGCAGTGGCAGCCAGTGGCAGCCCGCCACTGGCTGCCACTGTTTATTCTTTATAAATGAGTCACGTTATTGTGACTCATAGCCTGCACAAGCATCTCCTGTTTTCTGTCCTACATTGTGGCTTGTTGAGCTTGAACCCATTGTTCCTCATTTGTGTTACATCTGACCTTTTGAAGAAAGTATCAGGATTGACATCGTCCAAATTGTTCAGTATTTTGAAGGCTTCTAAGAGATCCGCCATGTCATGCCTGGTCTGCAGTGTTGTTAGCCCCAGTGACCCTCAACCGTTCCCGATACGTATTCCATCCTGATACGTATTTCATGCAATACGTACATGCTCTCCTTGGCAGATCTTGCACCACGAACTTGAATGAATCTGCCAAATTGTTGTTAACAACGATTACAGCAATAAAGAATTCAGCATAATTCTGACCCCTTAATTAACCCTTTAACTGCGCATATTGGGAGCCCGAAAGCGAAAAATATTTGAATTATGCAAGAATAACTTAAAAATGTTAAACAAATCTCCATCTTATTGGTTTCAGCATCGTGAAACTTTAATCAAAATATTTTCAGAAACTGATTTTAGACAAATTTTTAAAAAATAAGAACGTTTTGTTGATAAGGAGAACAGCTCTTATTAACTGGAACTGAGGGATAATGCAGCCATAAAGAGGTGCAAGCACCTGTTCAATGCTCAAAGAAGAATAGTAGTAAGAAGTGTCCACAAAGTGGATATGCAGCTGGTGCCTTTATAGCATTGCCGAGTAATACATAATAACACAAATAATAATGAGTAACTATGTTATTATGATCTATTTTGTTATATATCATATAAATATTTTGTCCAATGTTAAGTGAAACTCAATTGAGTTTCACTTACGAGATGGAGAAGGATGGGAAGCTGCCCTTTCTAGATGTAACAGTCATGGAAAGGAGCGGAGGCTTCCACACTGCAGTCTACACTAAGGAAACTAACATAGGAATGTGCCTCAATGCCAATAGTGACTACCTAGACAGGTATAAGAGGAGTGTCAACGCTTACGTCGACCGTGCTCTCAGCCACAGTTCAGGATGGAAGCAAGTTGATGAACTCTGTAGGGTAAGGCAGGTCCTAGTCAACAACAGCTTCTGTAATGGTTTTGTTGAAGACATCATAAAAAGAAAGGCAAAATGCCATACAACCTCTGAAGAGTCAAGTAACACAACACATGTACCCCCTATTAGACTATTTTACAGGAACTTCTTTTCGACAGCTCATAAAATGAAGGAAAGGGTCCTGAAAGATATTGTTGATAGGAAAGTTATCCCTACAGACAAAAATCAGAAAATACAATTGATAATTTACTATAAAATCAAAAAAACAGCCAACCTACTCATGAAAAACTCTCCAGACACAAAGCAGAATGCCTTGAAGGAAACCAACATCGTCTATGCCTTCAAATGCCCACTTGGGGACTGTAAGCCCCAAAGAACTCAGTATATAGGCAAGACAACAACGTCTCTTTCCAGGCAATTAACAATGAATAAACAACAGGGCTCCATAAAGGAACATATAATCTCCTCTCACAACCAGCCCATCACCAGAGAAGTCTTAACAAACAACACAGAAATCATCGATAGATACAGCGATAGAAGGCAGCTCGACATCTGCGAAGCACTACACATAAAGAAGTCAACACCAGCAATCAGCAGCCAATTCATGCACAACTATATTCGACCCACTTCAAGACTCCAAACCAATATAGAAGCATCAAGAGGAAGTATGGACCAATAGGCCCTGTGCAGTTACTTCCATTCTCATGCTCTCATATCCAATTAATACCCATAGTTTTGTGTTCTGTCTTGTATTTGTCACACGTTTGTTCACCTCATCTGTAATGAGGTGAACAAACTGTTGCATCCAAAATGCAACATTGCAATGCAAAATGCAATGTTTCATCCAAAACTGTTGCATCATATCACCTCACCCAAATGCAAGTATAAGTATGACGGATTAGCTGACTCTGTTTAGTGTTTACAGGTTACAATTGTGTGTGTAAACTAAAGTCTTTGAAAATGTAATAAGTTATTACGAAACGCATTCAAGCGTCGCGTCAGACTAGAAATAAAAATAAATTTTGTAGAATTGATTTTTCCATTACCATCGACAGTGAAAGGAAACATAAGAAATATTGAGAAAAATCGTGTTAGAATTATTAATCTTACCCTTTCGGTCATATTTAACAGCATGCACATGCATGCATGCATAATATTATTATTATTATAATATATAATATTATAATACATATTTCATTATAGAAGGTTGTAACAGAACCCATATATATACTGTAACCCCGCGATTATCCGGGATTCAAACATCCGGAAAACGCCCTTATACGGCCAAAATCGTGATCGGATAAAGTTATCACAATATCCGGCCAAAATGGCCACAGGAACCGGATAAAAGCTGGTTTGGCCGGATGAAAATACGGCCATACCGTATTAATCCCGTCTGTGGCTCTAGACGCATGGTGGAGGAGGGGGGTTGGGTGGGTGGGTGGTGTTGGGAGGGTGGGAGGGGTGCGTCAGGAGGGACCACCTGGGTACAGGAATTACCATTAATTTTAGAACAATTAATCATAGCCAAAAACAAATGAAATAAGTACTAGTAATTATGTAATAACAAATAAATAAGTTTCC